GCACTTGAAAAAATGAAATGAAACGAAAATGAAATTAAAATTGATGGGTAGGTGTAAGTTTTTGAACGAATAATTTAACAGAGAGTGTAAATGTTATTTAATATAGTTAAATAGACATGGTAAATAACACAGTGGGGATTAAAAATTTAAATATCATCTCTTCAATTATACTTTTGTATTGGGGGAGGAGGAGGACCAGACCTTGACCTATTTAGATGGTTAAGTTTAGAATGGTAAGTGATATATAGAAATGGGAGGAATGGGAGGGAGAAAAGAAAAGGAAAAAAAGAAGAGGGAGAGGGAAGTAAAGAGAAAGAGGTTGTAATTGGGTTTTAGCAATTTATGTAAAAAATGGATTTTAATGCTTGATAGTAATTTTGATGTCTAAAAAAATTTGATGTTTGCTATCAATTTAAATTTAATTCTTTTTATATATATATATATATATATATATATATATATATATATATATATATATATATTCATTAATATACAATATATATATATATATATATATATATATATATAAATATATATAAATGGCTATGATAAAAAAACATACGTATACGCACATATACTTGCACATATACATACATATATATATATATATATATATATATATATATATATATATATATATATATATATATATACAGGATCTCCATAAAGTTCATGTGCACTTTAAAAAAATTATAACTTTATTTGTATTAGAAATAATCTGTAAAAACGTTATAAAGTTTAATATACCTAGTTTTAAGTATAGTTATTGAATAATTCTTTACCACAAAATTTGCAACAAGTTTTAGATAAGTAAAAAAAATTTTCTTTTTTCCAGAATCAATTTGATCCATGGCTTCAACTGACGAAAAAGTAAACTGTCAAAGAAAGTTTTGAATTGAATACAATAAAGAACCACCTCATAGGAAGACTATTGCTAAATGGATGAAAAACTTTTAAAGAGACAGGCTCCGTCCATGATAAGCCACGGTCTGGAAGGCCATGAATCAGCGACGAAAGTGTTGCATCCATGAAATTAAATAAAATTTCAATAAAACCTTAAAAATATAGATGTACTTCTTTCTAATCCTTTTTACAAATTATTTCTACCGCAAATACAAATAAAATTTTTTAAAGTGCACACGACCTTTATGGACACCCTGTATATACATTCTCATGTGTTATAAAAACTGTGCTCAATGTTATATAATAGAGCTATTAAGTATATATTACTGAATATATATAATATCCATCGTCGATATCACGACTCGGAGTTTCGTGTAAACTTGCAATCTTCAGGTGCGAAAAAAATCACAGATAAATTTGTATAAACGCAATGTCCAAAATACTGTATTAATTACATTTACCGGTTTCAATTTACCGGTAAATGTAATATAATACTGTTTAATTTGTTTATATATATATATATATATATATATATATATATATATGTGTGTGTGTGTGTGTGTGTGTGTGTAAGACAAAAGGAAAACTTATTTTAGCAGAAGTCCCCCACTGAGGGACTTTATAAGTTATTTACTCAGAGGGCGAAACGAAATAGTCCTTTTACAGATATATCTGTATTTTTACACACACACACACACACACACACACACACACACACACACACACACACACACACACACACACACACACAGACACACACACACACACACACACACATATATATATATATATATAAAGATTTTTTTTGTGCGTCAGATAGAATAAATTGCAACATTTTGTATGCTTATTTTTAGCATAATCCTTTAATATTTACTAATATTTTTCCGTATAATACAAATGAATGAGGCAAGAAATATTGGTGTTACAGTTCATTTCTCGCCTCATTCAATTGTAATATATTCCCAAAAATATTCGTGAATATGAAAGGATTATGATAAAAATAAGCAGACATAATGTTTGCAATTTATTCAATCAGACATGCCTATAAGAGAATTTGCTGCCTAAATGCACAAATATATACAGATACATACATACATTTTTTTTATCAATTCATCTCAAGCAAGGTGATAATGCCACAAAGATGGAAGTGAGTGAAAGAGAAGGTGAAGACATTAGAAGGAACCGGAACCCTAAACAGAAATCAAGGAATAAACCTCTACTCCTGTCCCAAAAACCGGTGAGGAGTGTGAATCAGATATATATATATGTGTGTGTGTGTGTGTGTCTGTGTGAAAAGTGTGTGTATATATATAAGCGTAAATGACAGTTCCGTATAGGATGCAGGTTCGAATCCTGTCAAAGGACGAATATTTTCTATGAAAATTTCTCGGACATTCAGGCCAGTAAATGTTATTTAATACTGTTTATTATAAACAGAGCATTTACTTAAATACTTGTATCTATAAAAAAGAACGTTAAACATAAAAATGTCTTTAATAAATAAATTGTCGGACTTTGTCCATTTCTTACTATATATATATATATATATATATATAGTTCTTCGCATATCCTCCGTAAATAAGGGTCGGACATTGTATTTCTGGAAGATAACGCTTTCAAGGCAAACAGTGTTTGTACGTAAAGTGCTGAATAAATAGAAATAGAACATTAACGGCAAACAATTATAAATAAATGTAAAAGAAAGTTCAAGTTAAAGAGAGGAAGATTAATTTTTTTAACTTTTTAGGCTTTATTTGTTTACTATATATACATGTGTAAGTATATATATATATATATATATATATATATATATATATATATATACATGTGTATATATATATATATATGCATGTGTAAGTATAAATATATAATATATATATATATATATATATATATATATATATATATATATATATATATATATATATATATATAATGGACGTTTAGAACTGATCGATATGTTTTATGAGATCGTTTGATCTCAAGGTAATTTCGTTAAGCCTCGAGTGTGTGTCACGAGTGAATGCGATATTTTATGTTCATCCTGATGTCAATCATTGATCAACACGACGAAGAGGCAGTTGTTAAAAAACAAGATCTGAGTTAAAAACAACTGAAAGATAACAAGAAATAAATAAATAAAATAAAATAAAATAAATAAAACCAATATGGCCGAACATTTGCAAAATTCCTCTCAATAGATTCCATTGTGATCAGATAACGTGTAATGCGTACGTCTTCACACGCGCCCAAACTTGCATTTAAACGGAAAAAAAAACTCAACTCATCTGCATGTGTCGATTTCGACACGACTGACTGAAGAGAGTTGGAATTAACTGAGATGGCTAGATTTTACTCGGTGTCTGGAATCAATTTGTTTCTCAAAGGTTGTATAGCGCCAGTCTTCCAGAGAATGAAATTGGCAATGACAGTTATATGAAGAACTTGGTAATGTTTCTTTTAATCCTTTCACCACAGGCAAGGCGAGAAGGCGACTAATACACAGGAAGTTAGAGAGAGTGAAAGTGAGTATGGGGAGGATTGAGGAAAAGACAGAAGATAAAGGGATTCAAGAAGACAGAAGATGGCGATTGATATCGCATTTAAATTTTTGAAGATTGTAGCTATTAGGGAAGCAAATAAACTGAAGGGATTTCCACAGGCAGAAAGTGCGAGAAAAGAAACTGCTATAGTAGAAGTGGCGGTTGCATTTAACTAGTTCAGCAATAAAACGGTGGGACCTAATTGCCAATCTAGCAGTATACGTAAATTCATGTAGTCGGGGCACCAGCTGTCAGAGCATCTGCCATGAAAATATTTGCAGAAAAGACAGAGAGAAGCCACATGTCACGTCGGTGAGAAAGTGAATGAAGTCAAGATGCCTGGTAAGAAATGTGCACATCATAGACCATTCTTTGGATTTTTCCAAGAAGCTCGAGATGACTAGCAGGAGCATCACAACAAATATGGAAGCAGTATTCAATGCATGGACGAATAGTAGATTTATAAATGTGCAAGATGGACTCTGACGAGAGAAAAACATTTCTAGCACGACACAGTCTCCCAACTTTCCTTGCAGTAGATGCAGCAATTGAATCGATGTAGTCGCTCCACTTCAAGTCAGTTGAAAACGTGAGGCTAAGAAGGCGTAGTGTATTTCTCTCCTGGAGTTTAGCATCAGCCACGCTGATGATATGCGGAAAGGGCTCTCTATGCTGGTTAAATGAAAGCAGTTTTATTTTGGAGCACAGCGAAAATTTCTTGGAATGAAACGTCAAAAATTCCCCGAGTTAATGTTTTCCTGAATGTTTTTATAACCTGAAATATTGTTGGAATCAAACTTTTCCAAATATCTTAATAAAATCAGGAATTCATCAATTCCAAGGAACATATTATGCTAAAGTTTACCCAATGCAAGGCGCGATAGTCGTTCAATGTAGAGCATTATTGTTAAAATGTTGATGACAAAAGAGGGCTGTCTTTTTCTATAAATATTTTCATGGCATCTGCTCTGACGGGCTATTTTCACTGGTGCTCCGACTGCATGAATTTAAGCGTGCTACTAGGTTGGTATCTAGGTCTCACCTTTTTACTGTCGAAACGGTTAAATGTAACCACTTCTACTCCAACAGCTTTCTTCTCTCGCAATTCCCGACAATAGAACTCCCTTCCTCTTACTTGCTTCCCTAACTATAATATAACTATAATCTTTAAAAATTTAAATGTAATGTCAATTGACATCTTCTGTTGCCTTAATACCCGTTCTTCTTTTTATCCTCCCCCGTTCTTTCTTCGACCCCCTCCTATGCCCAGTGTTTTCCCCTTACTTACACTCTCTGTAACCCCCTGAGTACTAATGGCACTGCCGCCTTGCTTGGGGTGAATTGATTAAAAAAATATACACCAATATCGAGTTTAATGATGAAACACTTTTTAAGGGCTCACGAATTACAAAGAAAATGGCTAACACACTCTCTCTATCTATCTAGCTATCCTCATTCTATTCAAATCTATTTATCTATCCTCATTCTATTCAAATCTATTTATCTATCCTCATTCTATTCAAATCTTATCTATCTAGCTAGCTAGCTAGCTAG